GATCTCATAAAATTAATAAAATAGATTTATATATATACTTAATGTAAGTGTCGGTAGACATGGCAAAATGAAATTTCTAAAGAAATCAGCTTAAAAGTATGTTCTTGTTTTCCAAGGAGCAACTTAAATTGCTCATCTGTGTTTGAATGTTGTGTATTTACATTTTCAGAAATAATAAGTACTTCAGAAGTGAAAAGGTCTTAGCTAAGCTGGTATGAATTAATGAGCAGATAAAAACAAAACTGTTTGTTTACTTCATATAGAGAATAGTTTCAATATATGATATGATATATAATATATAAGCTGATTTCTTATTTAAATTCAATTATATACAGTATATGCTGTGAAACATCCCATCTAATGCCCTCAGCATTAATGTGCAATATTTGCTACTTCTTTAGTAGTAAATGAAGATAAACATTCTGGCCAGGAAGGTAATGGAAGACTTTGTCACTCAGTTCTTGCCATCGAAAGAGCATATTAATTTGAAAGGGGGGTCCTTCTAATATGTACAGTGAGTCTTTATTCAGCTACCTTGTTTTCTAGCTTAGCTCAGATAAGACTGCAGTTTATGTTTGCTTATAAAGGTTTTATGATCAAAAGGTAATTTTTTTTCCTAGATGGAAACATCAGCCTTTTTATATTTGCTAGTACCCTTGCTTATTAATGTATACATAAATAACAAATATAGGTGTGACTACAGTGTGATTTATGGTTTGTTATTTCTTGCAATGTTTGTAAATTTAAAGTAAAACTGCTAGCACCTGGCTATTTTGATTTGAGAAAAAGAGAGTTTTTCTTTGTTTTTGACTTTGTTCAAAATGATAAAAGACACTTGAATCCCTCAGAAAAGATGTTGTTTTTCCATATTATCAATTTATTCCATGAGCTCAAAAACGAAATAGAGAAGTACATTAAATAGAGAAGTGCCCATTCATCAGGAACACAATACAGATAATGTTTAGTAGATAAAAACCTGTTCATTTATTGGTGTCAAAGGCAATTTCAGGTTATCTTTCGATGGCTATTCTAAGCCAATATGTCCAGACAGGGAGATACATTGTTTATTGTTTGACTTATCAGTATAACTCAAGGACAAAACCACCCAAGCCTGCCCTTACTTCCCAGTCCAGCCTTCTAATTATAGGCTTTTATTGGAGACTGGTGGAAGAGCAGTAGTGATCAAAGGTGTTTATGTGCAATACTTAATACTCTTTCAAGGTAATCAGTTACTGAAATTAAGAGGATACATGAAAGAGCTCAGAAACATTTTTTTGTTCTGTTTTCTTAGAAATGCCATCTTAGTTTTACTTTTCCCTTACTAAGCACTAAGCAGAAGTAATCTGAAGACTATATAAGAGGCAGGCAGACACTGCCAGTAAACAAGACAAAGGAGATGAGGTGAGTAGACAAGATACAGTATGTAGGCATTTTTATAGCAATATAAACAGTAAGAGCAAAACAAAGTAAGATGCATAAAAGTAGTTCTGTGAAAAGAGTTCTCATTACTCTGTATTAGTTCATTAACTTTATAATCTTTTGATGACACCATAAACTGAATTTTCAGGTTTGAATTTCTCTTGTAGCAATGCCGTGTGTTATTCCGCAGAGACGACAACAGAAGGAGTTTAACTTAGAAAAGAATAGAGAAGTTTAGCCTTTCACTTAGTTATCATTATTTTTCTTTTATTTTAACTTACAACTCTGACCATGGTTAAGGTCAAAGATAACTAATAATATTATAAGAAGGTATCAAGAACGACTTGCGAGTATTTAAACTTGCCATCCTTAGCACTGTTTCTGAAGCCCCAGGCAACCCTGATCTCGATGAAGTGGTTAGAAAATGGATGGATTCCTAGCTGTAGAACCCACCCTTAAATTATCGTAGACATTAATGTCTTTATTATGAAAATAAAATAAATAAATCAAATGCTAATAATAACAAAGCTAGGAAATTAGAAAATGATTAGAAATAATTAGAAAATTAGAACATTTCAAAATGATCACAAACTTTGTCATCAAGAATTGCACAGAGAAAAATGTGCATTGAAACATTACATCTATTCAAAAGTGTCCGGATTGAACTTCCTTTTTAAACTGGATCCTTACTGCTTAAAATTAAAAGTTATATTCTGTTTTTGACCCAAAAAACTTTCAGTCTTGTTGTATTCCTAAAAAAATAACTTGCTATTTATGGTATTGCTGGAGGATTTGTGTCTAACAATATCCAATAATACTGTTTTTACTGTTTCTGATGACACCGTATTGCTCGAGTCATTCCAGCACAGCATTCAAAACACTCTCTTTCCTTTCCTGCTTCTGCCTTAATTAGTGGTTTAGGAAAACACAGATACAATTGTCTTGCAAACGTCTGTACTTGGAGTGAGTGTTTTTTTAGTTAGAATGCCTCTAAACCCATTAGTGTAACTCTTTTTACATTTCTTACGTTCGATGTTATAGAATAAAATGCAAAAATGAAACAATCTTAGCATTATTTTCTCTAAAATACAAAGATGGTATTTAAAATAACTTATAAGAAACTGTGTTTATGTTTAACTATTTTTTTAAAAGGAAAATGTCTTTAATTTTCTGTTTTAAAGGTGTTGAGATGTCTGCTTTCAAAAAGAGGAGTACTATGGAGCACACAGAAGAAGACCTAGCTATTGTAGGCATCGGATGTAACTTTCCTGGAGGTGAGTGAAGAGTGAAGACATTCTAGTTGCAATAAAACAGACAGTGATTATTTCTTTTTAGAAATCTTTTTTTCAAACATCGTGCCTTTTGTTTATGAGGGAGAATTCTTCTTGTGGAAATTTGTAAATAAAATGAACATTTGAGTCTCGAAAAACACCTGTGCTATCAGCACGTATGTGTGAATTTATACAGCAAAGGACCAAAAACCATCTACGATTAACAAAATATATATTCACTCACAGAAGAACAGGAGCTCAAACTCTTAAAGAGCCACAACTGTAAAATGTGAATTGCCTTTTTAAGTATAACAGATGTTTCAAACAAATGTGGAGACTTTCCTCACAGATGCCTCAATATATTTCCAAACAACCCTAATCAGGAGCACCAATGTCACACATGTGAAGCCTATGAACATTGTAATATATACATTATTACCCTAATATTTTTAATTGCACTAGAACACCTCATATTTTGCATAGCAGAATAGTAATGTGTGGTTTCATTTACAAAACATAAAAAATGTTAATTTTCATATCTATGAATAGTGCTAATAGTACTTTTGTGTACATCTCTGAAGTTGCTGATTTGTACTGACACGCTGTCATGGATACAAATGAAGGTATACTACCTTATATGAACCACTGGTGACAAAAGCCTTCGTACAATATTGTTTCTTAGCAAGAGAACAAATGTTTATTCGATATACTGAGTATCGAAAGCAATTCATCACTTTGCATATATGGTTTGTAGAAAAGTACTATGTACCTTTTTGGTAATGACTAAACTTTTTTGTGTCATTTTGTTTAATTGATCTTTGAAGCTTGACATGACGCACTGAAGTGACTTTGACCATTACATGGGCATTAAGCAAATTTATTTTTGAGACGATTGATGGGAACTGAGGTAATTTAACCTGTTAAATGTCAAGCCTGTGGCACAGTGGTTGGCACTGCTGCCTCTCAGTGTTGGGGCCCTGGGTTCAATTCCAGACCTGGACTGGTGTCTGAATGGAGCTTGTATGTTCTCCCCGTGGGTGCACCAGTTTCCTCCCACAGAAGCATGCTGGTAGGTTAATTGGCTTCCGGGAAAATGTGAAAAACTGGAGTGTGTGCATGTCTGTGCGTGTCCTGTGATGGACTGATGCCCAGTCCAGGGTGTATTCGGCCTTGTGGCCGTTACTTGTGGGGATTGTTGGGATAGACTCCGGCTCCCCAGTGACCCCGAATTGTAAGATCTGGTTAGATGGAAGTGAAAATGAGAAAGAAGGAATCAATATTTCCCTCTAATCACAAGAACAGTACATTTGTGTCATCAGTGTGTTGGGGATCAGACTAAGTCAGTCCACTGGGCGTTTCCCAAAGATCCAGACCCACTCGAGTGATAAATATTGGCTTTGTGAAGACCTCCATATCAGCAGTGTGGCATGCAGCAGATGTGCAGAACAATATACTAGTTATTGTGAACAACAGACCAGTCCACAGGGGGGTCCAAGTGTGATGGTCTGAGCAGGAGTTTCTAGTCACCACAGCATTGGAAGACTGCAGAGTACTACATTGATCGGGTCTTGAGACACTTTTTCTCTAGTTTCACATTGTCTACATCTAAATAATCATTTGTACTTCCTGTACTTCCAAACCAGCAATTAGCACAACATCACAATTTATCAATACAAACAGCTGATTGGTAAGACAAAAGTATAAGTAGAAAATTACAAATTTACAAGAACAAATAGCTGTTGAATGGATATTACTTTTTGAACACTGAAAATGCTTTTGCAAAGCAGAAAAATATGATAACATTAACCAACTACACAATGTTATCAAATTGTCTTTAAAAGTTAAAATACAGACATGTAGAAAAGACAGTGGTTATCTCTAAATATTTTTAAATATGTACTGTATTGGAAAAGTGGGAAGTATTTTTTAGTAATGGTGTCTAAAAGAAACCAAAAAACTTTATACATGACTTTCTTTTACAGGCGAGGGAATAGAAAACTTCTGGAAGGTTCTTCTGGAGGGAAGGAACTGTGCAGTGGAGATCCCGAATGAGAGGTTCAGCAGCAAGTCCTGGTACGATCCTGATGACAGCAAGGCAGGAAAATCACGGACCGCTAAAGCTGCTCTCATCGATGGGTAAGAGAGTCTGTCACAGGGCCTAATACAGCTTCGCAAACTCCATTGCTTAATCACGTGTGTCTGAGAATTTAATCTTCCCCAAAAAGCACACAAGTACACAGCTATACCATTGTTATAATATCAATATTATTAAATATGTTGTGGTGTACAGTATCAAATAGAAAATTCACAATTAAATTGTCACGGGAGCCGGTTCTGACTCCCATGAAGTGTGTTGTTAAAGACCCTGTGTGTGATTCGGAAGTGTCTGGAGAAGCGCATCAGGGAAGGCCGGGTCGACAGACAGAGGGCGGCGTCAGTGGTGGTCCGGTGCACGGGGAAAGGGTTCACAAAAAATCCAAGGGAGGTCTGAGGGGGTAATTCGGTTGCAGTCCAGTGTCCAATGCTGGGCGGCCCATCCGAGACAAAGACAGTTAAAAACCGGAACGGGGAACCGGGATCAGGAACAGAGAAGATAAAAACATAACGGGACTGGGCACTCCGAGCGCCGGACTCAGAAGACAGGACGCTATGATAAAGCTTATGCCCTCGGGCCACTCCTGTGCCCAGTGATAGACGAGCTTCTGGGCTTCCAAAGCTGAGCCCAGAACTACGGAGACACCGGGCTTAAATAAGACAAACGGGATGAGACACAGGTGAAACTAAGAACAATACAGAAAAAGGTAGGGGCGCCCTCTCCGTGACATAAGGAGTGACGTACAGTGAAAAAAATAGCTTTTAACTGAAGTGAATTGACCTCTGTTACTCCATGGAAGTCTCTTCTCTCAAGACAAGAAGATATTTGGATACTGTATATCACATTTTGTTCCATTTTTCTTTTTGTAACCTTAACGGTCTGAACAAATGGTTAACATTTATTATCTTGCTGATTATACAGTCACCTTTTGACCTTGGGGTGTTTTTTTTTCTAAATAAGTTATTAGTATGCTTTATTGTGGGAAGTCCCTTTTCCCTCATTAGGAATATTAGATTCTAACTTTTGAAAGTCATTAGGTCATGGATGGTCTCGGTGTGTGTCCAATAATTAATAAGGCCCTGACCTGAGATCGTCAGCTGTGACTGGGTCTGATGGGCTGGTGGCATTCAGCGTGAGAGGAGTTTTATACATATACATACTATATATCGCATGACGCATAAGACACTTTTAATTTCTGGTTTGTTTGATGTTTATGACCTTCAGGAGAAAATATAACTCTCAACACAGCTTCTGTGGAAAATGCATTGTGTTAGCATCACACAAACCTGAAATCACTTCCTTCTTGAGAAGTAGAAGTTCAGAACAAGTCATTATACATGCTCGTGTTCTAGATAAGGGATCCAATCTTTTTTCCTGGAGACCAATTCAACAGGTTTTAGCAAATGAATCATCAGTTTTTAAAGGCACCTGAATTGCTATCATTTTGTCTGGAGATTTGTTAGATAAAGTCATTCAGAGATCAATTGGAATTAAGAAATGTAATACCAGTCTCCCAAATTTTTCAAAAGTTTTCACTTTTAGTCATCTATATTTTCATGTTCCTAAACTTCCAGGTTCAACGCATTTGACCACAAGTTCTTTGGCATTACCGAGGCTGAGGCTGACCGCATGGATCCTCAGCAGAAACTGCTCCTGGAGTGCACCTACAGGGCCCTGGAGGATGCTGGGATACCAATGGAGAAAGCCAGCGGAACCAGAACAGGAGTTTACATTGGTACTTTTTTATTTTGTGGAATGCTGCTGTTTGGTGTCATGCACAGTATTAAAAAGGCTTTTTTTACCTTTGCGTGAAATTTAACAATAGAACAAACTTATAGTTATAGTGCAGTGCATTACAACAGTACTTGAATAAAAGTAAAAGATGAGGTCTCGGTAAGTAACAAATGTTGAAAACGAGACTATAATCATAAAACAAAAGTGGCATTCACTTTAATGCAGTAACTTTATGGATAAATGTGTATGATGTATGGATTTGCAAACTAGTTTTTACAGTAGATGTTAACCAACTATATTGTGCCTACTGTACTGTGCAGATAGAAACATTGTGACGTACATTTCTGATTACAGTTCACAATGTGGCTACAGTAAGACTCCGATGAGTGTTTATTGCTTTATGTGCAGTAGTTGTGTTTGCAAAGGGTAAAAACACAACAAAATGGCGATGCGCCACTTCAGTTTTAGATGAGTCAAAAGCTCAGGAAGGGAGCTGTTCACAGTTGGTTATGTTAGGAACAGGAATGTGTGAGTCAGGGGAAATATTCAGAAAGAGTTTCTTCATGCAGGCTAACTAATAAAAGTGAAAACCATCACGATCCCAGATATGAATGTCAGGATACAGTATATTGAATATATTAGCACTTTTGATAATGCTATTGAGGACTGGATTACTTACTTTGTAAAAGATGACCTTCATTGTGCAGGAAATGATCTAGAGAATGTAGGATAAGGTTTTGGTGTTGCTAAGTTTCTGTTATTACAGTTAACTGTGCAGTTCGCTAGAGCCAGAAAACATTTAAGTAGACAGTTGAAACATTACTTAATCATTTAAATAAAAAAAGAATCATGATACTAACTGACAGATTCAAATTTCATAAAGGAAACCAGTTGAAAAGTGGGAAGTATATCAGAGAGCGTGAGTAGGTTTAAAGAACATTGCCAATGTGGGATTGTCTGATGCATTGTGGAACAGGCTTGTATGTGTCATGCATAGTCACAGCACACGAAAGAAGTTGCTCTCAGAAAGAGATTTTACTTTGGATCGCTAGCTGAATATGTGCAGTATCAATGGAGTCTGCTGCAAAAGCTGCATCCAGATTGCAACAGAAAGTTGGTTGGTAGTGCAATAAACAAAATGTCAATAAAACAAAGAGACGATTATGTTTTCGGTGTGGCAAGATATCATGTGATGCAACTGACTGTTCAAAAACAGAGACTGTAGAAAATACAAGCAAGCGAGTTCAAGGCAGACAAAAAGCACATAAACTGCAAATGGATCTCAGAGACAGAAATGCAAAACTGCAAATGGGCACAAAGTGACTCAAAAGAGACTGAAAATGACGGAGACAATGTTGAGCAGTTATGCTTTCAAATTCATGGATTGTTATGTTTGCCATCTCAAACAACAGAAGGGCCAAAGTCAACAGATCCGTTGGAAGGGTTTCACGCTATGTTAGTTGAACAGCTACCAGTTACAAATGCCCTCGTAAAAAAGAGAAAGAAGGAATGACCTAGGACTGTTAAAAATCAGTGACACTACTGTGATTAATTTCACCCAGGATTCACAACCAGAAGAGATCAGCTTTCCGTAATGTATGGTAAGGGAACTTGATGTGCAGATCAGGTGTGCTGGTCTGCTGTTCAACCTGTGCAACAGCTTGTTAAATGCATTGCATTACGGATACTTAGGGACAGTGAAAGTGGAGAGCTTTGCTTGTAGTTATGTGTGGTGGCCCTGTATTGACAAACAGATTGAAGAACTGTCAAAGAGCTGCTCTGGATGCCAAAATACCCAGAATGCACTACTGTGAGTACCTTTACACCCTTGGGAGTGTCCTTCATCAGCATGGCTACAAGTGCGTATTGATTTTGCAAGAACATTCATGGACTCTATTGTATGTTCTTGGTTGCAGTTAAATGCACATTCCAAATGGTCAGAAGTCATTCCATGAAGTCAACAACCTCTGAAAAGACTCTCTCAGTATGTAGAACTCCCCTGTTGCAGTGTAGTGTATGGATTGATATGTCGTGATGGACAGATCTCATTACAATTAAGAACGTTGCTCTCACTCTGAGTCTTTTGTGTTTCATGTAGTTTTGTTCTTTCTTTCTCTACAAAAGTTCATTTTCAATCATTTTAATCATCCCTTTGTTGTTATTATGATATAACTGCTATGTAAAAAATGGTAAATTCGGTCAGTAAATCCTGCTGATTCTAGGTGTCCATTTTTTTTTCAGGTCTCATGAACAGAGATTACGAAGGACTTTTAAGCAACAGTCCCACCACAATAAACCACTACAATGGCACGGGGACAGCAATGAGCATCGCCGCCAATCGGATTTCCTACACCTTCAACTTCACGGGGCCCTCGTTCGCCATCGACAGCGCCTGCTCCTCTTCGCTCGTGGCTCTTCACTCTGCCTGCCAGGCCATCAGACAAGGTAACCTCTCGTGCGTGGCGAGGATGTGTTCCCCGGTGTCACGACCACCAGCCAGCGGAGATCAACTCACAAAAGAACTAACCAGTGCCACCAGCGGGTTAATAATAACAAGCGCCGCCGCATGTGTTAATCCATCAGCACACTCTATAGTGCGGCACGCAGCGCTATTTTTACCATCCAAACCCGCTTCCCACTGCTCGGTGTTGAGTCTTCTCAAAGAGAGCTCTACCTTGTGTTTACTCTGAATCTCGCTTACTGGTTACTGAACTCCATTTTGCCTCACAACCTTGGACCTGGCCTTCTGTTTTGGATTGTTTGCTTTTCTCTGTACTTCCTAGATTTCGATCTACCTTTCGCCTATCGACTATGATCTCTCCTGACGTCCCGGATTGTTCGCCTGTCTCAATATCTACTTGCTCCTGCGCCTGCACAGGATCTGCATACCTTTTCATTGAGGATTTCTGACAGTCGGTCAAAAAGTAAAGTGTCCTTGGCCAGTCACAGCTGATGATTTTCTGACTGAGTTTTGGGGATAAAGTATTTCTGGTGAACACTTCAATGCAGATTTATGGGTTAACATTTTTGTGGATGTTTCACAATGTTAAGAGTCCAAATACAATTAGCTTTTCAGTAGATTGGATAGAACCTAATGAATGCGATGGAGGGATGAAATAAGTAGAGAGTATTTGTTGTGACTCCCCTAATAACTCCCCTTCAACCAACATTGGTGTACAGCCCCACCTGGATGATGCGAGGGCAGCCATAGTGCTTCAGTACTCTCACCACACACCAGCTATCAGTGTGGAGGAGAACAGAGAGATGAAGCCAATTCATAGATGGGGATTATTAGGAGGCCATGATTGGTAAGGGACAATGGGAAATTTGTCCAGGACGCCGGGGTTACACCCCTACTCTTTTCAAGAAACACCCTGAAATTTTTCATGACCACAAAGAGTCAGGATCTCGGTATTACGTCTCATCCTAAGGATGGCACCTTTTTACAGTATAGTGTCCCTGTCACTATACTGGGGCATTAGGACCCACACAGACCGCAGAGTGAGCGCCCCCTACTGGCCCCACTAACACCTCTTCCAGCAGCAGCCTTAGCTTTCCCAGGAGTCTCCCCTCCAGGTACTGACCAGGCTCACGCCTGCTGAGCTTCAGTGGGCTGCCAGTGAGCTGCAGGGTGATAACTGAGGGAATGGCAGCCTATTCATGAGATATGCCTTTCACCTGGAGTGACGAGAGGGATGAGAAAGAGATAAGGGACATCCTGGGTGCAAGCCTTACATGCATAGGCAAGCAGAAGTGTGCAAAAATAATTTCTGTTGTTTTGTTTATTTGGTTAGTTTATTTTTAATACACCTGGTTTATTGTTTTTTCCCCTGATTAGTTCTGATGTTCAGTAGTATATCTATTTTTATACACATATTTATTTGTATATTTATTTAAATACAGCCTTGCACCAGTTAGTCTGAGAATATGTCTATTTTAAACAGCCTCTGTGGCTTGGATTTATCCAGAGACAGCTGTTTTAGAGCCCATGTTGGTACTGTTTTCTAGGGGACTGCGAAATGGCGATTTGTGGAGGTGTCAGCTGCATTATTGAGCCACGAGTCTTTGTCGCCCTCAGCAAAGCAAAAATGATTTCGCCTGAAGGCACCAGCAAGCCCTTCTCCAGCAAAGCAGATGGCTATGGAAGAGGGGAGGGCTGTGGGATTGTCTTACTGAAGCCCCTGCAAAAGGTGAGATGTTCCCACACTCCCTGATTAAACCCACTGTGATTGAGCTGCTGATTAATTTCATGTGCTTTACCATCACTGCAAAGGTGAAGTGCTGCACTCCAGGATATATTGTAACTGGATTTCATTAAAATGAAATAAGAGTATAAAGTGATTTAAAAGTGCCCTTGAATGTTTCTACCAGTAAATGTCCTCATGTTCAGCTACCAAATCCAGATATTGTATCATAAAAAAAAATTCTTCATATGTACACCTATTTGCAATTTTTATGTTACTGTATTTCTGGGAGCTCTTCTGCCGTGGACGTTATTCAAAAAGAAATCAACAAATACCATATATTTGTTTTCTAAATACATGCATAACACGTTTTTCATTCGTTCTTACTGCAGCTTTTATCACGCCAATGTCAGATAGCTATGCTATTTACCTGTCGATTTTAGTACACAAATTGAAAAGAAAAATGTTTTCCTCCAAACAGAACTTTACCTTTTCTTTATTAAACTGCTCATTTAAACTAATATGCCTGGTTCCTATTTGTGTTAACAGGCTAAGAGGGATTTTGACCACGTGTGGGGCATCGTAAGCAGCACTGCTGTAAATCAAGATTGCCGCTCTGTCACCCCAATCACCAAGCCATCCATGGCCCAACAGCAGGAGCTCCTTCGCACAATTTACCCTGCACAGATTGATCCATCACATGTCCAGTACGTGGAGGCTCATGGGACTGGAACCCC